GGGAAGGGAGAAGAGGAAAAGGGGAAGTGGAGAGATAGGAAGAGGGAGAGAGAGAGAAAGTTATCAGGCAATTGTAATGCAGGGTGATCATTATGTGGGGTGATCAGCACAGGGGGTCAGGGAGGATCTAGGAGGGGCCCTGATCCTGGTAGGGGGAAGAACATCAGGGAAGCCAGTCCAGAGGGGACAAACCCCCAAGAATAAATTCTCAAGTGTCTGGAGGAACAGGGTGCATTTTGGGAATATCCTTAGATCAGCACTGAGAGATGAGAACAGACCCAATGGAGTTTAACTGAGAATGAGGCAAAGGGCTGCTCAGTTTCCTTGATAAGTTGCGTAGTTCTGTTTTTAAAATGTATTACACATATTATGGTGATTAAAATAAAAATTAAATTTCAAAACACATTCCTAAATCTCCCATGAAGAAGAATTCCAAATCATTCATACTTCACCTTCAAGGAAACATACCCGCACACCTCTAGTATGGGCTGTATGTAGGGACCTCCTCCCAAAGACTACAGTGTGGAAAGGAGAGAAAGGGCAGCTTTACAGCGGAGAAAGCTGACAAACACTGCATTAGTCAGGTGACCGAGGTGAACATCAGCAGTGATAAGTCATGTTGATGGTATGTGCCTCTGATATGATGTATGATAATGGTACTTTACCTTCCCAAAAAACCATAACCCCGGTTAATCATGAAGAAAAAAAAAGATATCAGACAAACTCCAGTAGAGAGCGTCCTACAAAATACCTGCCCAGCACTCCTCAGAATTGTCAAGGTCATCAAAAACAAGAAAAGTCTGAAAAACTGCCTTGGTCAAGAGGGGCAGGCCTGGCCGGCTGGGCGTGGCTCAGGGGTTGAACATCAACCTAAGATCCAGGAGATCCGGGTTCAATTCCCGGTCAGGGCACATGCCCAAGTTGTGGGCTGCAGCCGATCAATGACTCTCTCATCATTGATGTTTCTATCTCTGCCTCTTCCTTTCCCCTCCTCTCTCTGAAATCAATAAAGATATATTAAAAAAAAAAGAAAAAAAAAAAGAGGGGCAGGCCTAAGGGAACATGACAACTAAATAGAAGGTAATATCCTGTATGTATCCTGGAACAGAAAGAGGAAATTAGGTAAAAACTAAGGAAACCTGACTAAAGTATGGACTTTAGTTAATAATAATGTGTCAATACTGGTTCACTAATTATAACAAATGTACCATACAAATATAAGATGTTCATAATAAGGGAAACTGGATGTGAGGTATATGGAAACTACTATCTTCTCATTTTTTCTGGAGATCTAAAAACACTCTGAAAAAGAAACTCTCTTTTTGGCCCTGGCCAGGTAGCTCAGTTGGTTAGAGCATGTTTTAGGTTTGATCCTGGTCAGGGCACATACAAGAATCAACCAATGAATGCATAAATAAATGGAACAACAAATAGATGTTTCTCTCTCTTTCTCTCTCCTTTCCTCTCTCTAAAATCAATAAAAAATAAATAAATGGGGGCCGGTGTGGGGTGGAGGAGGTTAATGGGAAAGAAAAAGGAACATATGTAATACTTTCAACAATAAAGATAAATTAAAAATAAATTAAAAAAAAATAAAGTCTATTTTCAAAAAACGAATTACATATATCAATTAAACCATTCCTTTTGATCTGGGTCTTCATCCAATTAACAATTACTACTAATACTTTACCCGTATTAGGCAATTTATAGGCACAATGCTGAGTAATTTGCATATCTTAAAATACTCACAATATTATAAGGTAAGTTTTTCTCACTTTACAAATGTAGAAATGGAAGCATGAGAAAGCTCATTCATGCAACTGTTTAATAAATATTTATTAGTGAGTTAGTGATTGCCCCACAGGTGCGGGGTCTCCTCCAGTTAATGCCCTGCAGGGGCCTCTGGTGCCACTGTTTGGATTGAGCTCAATCATGTGAACTCCACCTCTTTCCCCCAAGCAGCTCTTCCTCCTCCTGGACTATGATATCACTGAACCATCTGCCCAGTCTCCCATGAGAAGTCCTGCACTCTTCCTCCCTCCTCCCATCACATCCAACTTGACACTAAGTCCAGTGGCCCTTCTCAGAAATGTCTCTTCAGGTTCTTCCTAGCCTACTAGATCTTTCTTTAGGAGGGGCCGTCACCACTTCTCTGCATCTGCCTTGGGTCTCATCCTTTCTGATGTGGACTCCACCCAAGCCAGCTCCCATCTTTCTAGAACCCACATCAGATGATCTCATCCCCAACCAACGCCCTCTGAGGGCCCATTCAATGGCTTTCTCAAGCTGGCCACAGCCAATCCCATATCCTACTCTATAGTGCTCCAGCTTTTTTCCCTAAACATCAAACATCACACTGTTTGCAAACCTTTGCTCTTGGTTTTCTTTCTTTCTTTCTTTTAAAGAATATTTTATTGATTTTTATTTTTAAAGAGAGAGGGAGAGGGAAAAAGAAACATTGATATGAGAGAGTAACATCGATTGGCAGCTGCCTCTTGTACTGGGAATCAAACCGGAAACCTTTTGGTGCACAGGACAGGACAATGCTCAACCAACTGAGCCACACTGGCCAGGGCACTTTTGGTTTTCTTGAGGCTTGCTTAATGCCTCTCCTTTTTTACCTCTGAAAATCATGCATGTACTTCAAGTTCTAGCTCAAATTCATCTGCTTTTGTATTCCAACCCTCTCTCCCTGGCTCAGCAGTCAGCCTTTATCTGCTCTCCTGGCAACTACCACATGGATCCTGAGGGGTAGAGCTGGTGGATCTGTGTCTGCAGCTGTGAGTTCCCTAAGGCACCTCTGTCTTCCTGTGCTCAGTAAAGTTTGAGTTATTTCCCACAATCGACTTCTGTTATATCAAAGCAGAATACCTGCACTTCATAATTAGGTGCCAGTAAGTGGCCAGGACAAGAAAAGCCATAGCAGTTCTGAGGGGGAGGTTGTGGCCCAGGGAAGAAGTGGACTTGAGAGTGACTGTCAGATTAAAGCCACATTTAGAGTTTATTGAGCACATGCTCTATGTTAGACATTATGCTCTAGCAGTGAGCTTTCTCCTACATCACCTTGTTTACTCTTCAAAATAGACTTCCTAGGTAATTATTGTATCTATTTCTGTAGATGAGGAAACTGGAGCCAAGAGCAATCAAATGTGCACAGTGCCACAACTAATGAGTGCCTAGGAAGGAATACGAGGGCTGGTCTCTGGCTCTTCCAAAGTCCAGCCTCAGGATTGAGTAATGAGCATGTGGAAGAATACTGCTGTAATCACCTCAACAGGGAGTATGTGCTGTGTCTATAGCAAGCAAGGCCTGCTAAGGCCCCACCCCATATATCCCAGAGAGCAGTGCAGCAGAGGAGGGGGGCTTTGGGAAGAGTGAGGAGGTAGCTGGAAGGATTCTGTGTCCCTGAGAACACCCCCATGCTGACCAGCTCTCCCTGCACAGTCCAGTCCTGAGGAATCAGCTGGACATCCTTTCCTCAGCTTGCATTGGGGATATGGGCAATGTGCTTGGATTTGAATATTGTCTCCTGGTTTCCCACTTCCTGGCCACAGGACTTTGGACAAATTGCTCCACCATATGAACTTCAGTTTCTACTTTTGTAACATGAGGAAAAGAGTGGTGCCTACTTCATAGCATTAGTGTACACTTAACATGAAATAATAATATTAGGAACTTAGTTCGGTGCTTGGCACATTGTCGGTAATCAGTAAATGTGTCTTTTATGATTACTATTTGACCTTTGTCTGGGCCTGTTTGTGTTTCCCTAATGCAGATGACAGGCGATCTGGGGTGGGGCCTCACGCGCCCAGCGGGACAGCTCTACCGCTGAGAGAACTTTTCCCAGGGCGGACGCCTCCTGCCGACCGCCCAGCTCCGGGACCTTCCCTGCTCCACCTACCCTATGGGGCAGCGCCCCTGGCGGGGAGAGCGACTCGCAGCCGCAGGTTTCAGTCAGGAGAAGCGAGGCCCGGGCACGATGGGTATTTATCGCAAAGTAACCTGTAGCCCCATCCTGGGCTGGGGCCATTCCGGGCCCAGAGAGCTCTCGGCGGGGCTGGTGAGGGTCCAGTTCTCTGCGCCGGGCAGGGAAGTTCGGCAAGAGCAGCGTGACCACACAATGTACTGTGTAAACCTGGACTCTTGAGAGTAAAGGGGGCGCTTTCAGTCATTATGCGGGGGCTACCGGATAAAGCCGGGTGGCGGTGACTCTGGCCAAGAGCCTTCCATTTGAACAGAGTCCATGGGCCCCATAAAGAAACAGACTCCGAGTCGCCTGGGCGGTGGAAGAGGGAAACCCAACCGCAGTCACACACGACCCTCGCAGTTCTGTTATTTAGGACCCCACACCTGCCTCCACACTTGTCTCTAGTTCCTTCCAGGTCGGAAAGTGTGCTCATTTGTGCAACGGGTGACCTTCTGAATCCATCAACTGCTTTTCTAGCACCAATTACCTGCTTATTGGCCCATGGACCTTCTAGGACGGTACTGTACTTATCTCTGTGACCCCAGCACCTAGACTGAGGCCAGGCATGGAGAAAGTTTTTGTTGAATGAGTGAATGGAAGCAGCCTGGCACCCCTTAGCTGTGCCTTGTCTTCTCTGCCTCCCCTTCTTGTTTCTCCCCACACCGAGGAGGCACTACGGAGCAGGTTAGAAGCAGGTTAGGTAGCACATGGCTTCCCACTGGCTGGGGCACCCAGCTCCGCCACTTTCTGGAAGCAGGTGGGCCCCTGGATGTGGGAGAAGAGAGACCAGGACTGCTTGCCTGTGCCTTGTGCAGGTAGAATCAAGACAACGATTAGACTGAGGAACGAGAGGTTCTCCTGGGGACCTAAGGCAGCGAGCTGTTTAGAAATGTGGAGGCGCAGCTGGTCAGGGAGGCTGAGCCGTGCAGCAGAGGAAGGGAAGCCTGGGCATGAAAGGTGCTGGGGACCAGCGAGGCTGGAGCGGGATGGCGCTGGGCAGGTGGGAGAAAAGGGCTGAGAAAGCCGGGATTACCTCCTAGTGTCCAAGTCCGGAACTGCAGCGGGGTCCTGGAAGGAGAGAGGCTTGAGTTCAGCAAGGCCAGTCCAACTCCCTGCTGGTCTCGTCCTAGGACGCGTCCAGGTCTCCGCCCCAAGCTGGGAACTGCGGCTGCACTGCCGGCTCCCGCCCTCAAAGGAGGACTGAGTCCCGGCCCCACCCCGCCCCCCGCCCGAGC